ATGCTGTACAAGTTAGGAACTTTTAATATCTTCAGGCCTAACTTGAGGGGGAGTGTTGAAATTTAAAGTTGTATTGGGTCATTAGTCAAAGTTTTAAGGTCTGGGCTTATATGATTAATAGGCCTGCGTGCCTCTGACGCGTTTTTTTTTTCTTGTTTTCTTGCCTAATTCTTGATGGCTATTTAAAGCCCATAAGAGAATTAGAAAAGGGATGTGTAACATACAATGAAAAAGTGTGTATAATGCTTAAACCCGAACGTGGGAAAGCTCTCTGAGATGAGTCATTCAATTGAGCATGATTTTTAACACCTAGCTTGTGTGAGTAGCTGTGGCTTTACTAGTTTTTGCCCATTTTTGCTCAACCAACTTCTTGGAGGGAGCTCGCAAATCCTTCATTTTTCCTCCTCTGTTTGTGTTGCAGCCTAACATCAAAGCTCTCCTTCATCTTTGTTGATGTTGTCAGTGCACCGATATGGAGCTCATTTTTCCTCTTCCTTGTTCGACGATAGGACTTGCTCTCTCTCCCCTATTCTGACACTACTATTTTGGAAGTTGTTGCAAGAAGGGTTAATTTGGAAGTAAGCTATATGCTTGGCAATTTATCAGGTAAGTGGATAGCATCTTAATTAATTTACCAATGAATTTTTTTAAGATGTTTTTTTCATAGATCATTCAATAATAAATATATTATGAATTTAATACTTTGTTAATTAAAATATTTTATTTTTTTATCTTGGAAAATTATAAAAAAATGTTGAAGGATATTTGAATTATGGCATGTGTATGTGTTTTTTTCCCCTTACGAAGGATACTTTCAAAATTAATGAGATTGTTTTATTAACTTTGGTTATTTTTGGATTACTCAATAAATTCCAAACATGAACATTAGTTATGAAATTTTATTTTGCAAGTTTTTAATGTTCAAAACTATTCATGCGAGTTTAACTTTGAAAATGGGAATTATATTTTTACACTGATGAATTTCTCACATGTTTGAAAATGGATTTGGAGAGGATTTTATACAAGACACTAGTTGCTAACAACAGTTCCATTAACTCTTGGTGCCTTTGTCAATGACTAGCTAATTTGATTCTCATGAGCTCCGTTCTCACTTCTATTATTTATGGGTCTCGTGCTTGCGTTTGTTTTGTAGCTTTGACCTTGTCTGTTTAGTTACCCTTATGGACTACGTGTCCACATCTATTTCATGGCTTTGACCACATCTTGTTACTTACCCTCGTGGATTGTATGTCCACATTTGTCTTTGTGGCATAAGCCGTATTTGGTTATTTATTCTCATAGACTGTGTATCCGTATTTGTGAATTGTTGTAATAAATTCCCAAAAATATAAATGTTTTTAATTAATTGATGATTTCATACTTTAATGGGTGTTAATTAGCAAATGCTATTATTTTGTTAATGTATTTATTTAATCATTTTGACTTATGAAGATCAAATGTTAAAGCCGCTTCGTCGTTATAGATTTAAAAATTCTTGATATTGAAGTTATATAGAACTTTATTGAAGTTATATAAAACTTTTATTTTGAGCTTACAAATTTATTTACATCGAATTGTGTTCCCTTTAATTTATGTATATGTTGTAGCTTATTCATTTTGAATTTGCAAAATGTTATGATTGGGACATCATTCACTAGGAAATATTTTTGGTCTCCGATAGCCTGTACTTCCATCAAATCATTCAAGGGATTTCACTGTTGGATTGAAGTTGAGATGCTATTTCGATTAATCTCGATTTTTGATGTAAAATTCTAATCTTTATATTATACTTTTATAAATAATGTTATGAGTGCTCTACATAGGCTATGGTTGGGGTCTGTATTTTGTTAATTACCTTGTCTGCTGGCTAAAAAGAACTGAGATCCTAATTGTTATAATATATTTGTTTGAAAATTTGTATTGTAGAATTTCAAAAGATTCTATTTTTAAGGGAAATTCTTCTAGAATTTTCATAAAATATTAAAGTTTCATTTAAGTGAAAAGTATTTTAAAAATAAAAAATTTCTTAAATTAACCTTGAGGAATGTGTGTTTAGGTACGTATTTCGTGCAAGTCAATCTCATATTTTGGAGCATGACAAGCATTGTATATCTTTCTTTCTTTTATTTAAATAAACAGACCCTAATAGATAAGAAAAAGTATTGTATAGCGACATAGTGGAAAAATGTTGGGCATGCTAGCATCCTATATGGTCCAACTTGATTAAAACAAGCAAACAAGGGCTACATTATTGCTGCCACATATGGTCATTATTCTTTGGTAGTAATGGGGTTGATTTAGCAAAAGAGACTACTTACTCACAATATAATGAATTAATGTTTGAATTGTCATTCGGAGAGGTATTTTCATATTTAATACTTAATAATGACTCAAACATAATTATCTCCAATAAAAAAAGATGTGGATTCAAAAAAAAATGTTATTGAATCGTGACATCATGACACTCCAGATTTGAGACATTAGAAGATAATCATGAAAGTGTTTTATATAATTCTAAATTGATTCAGATTTTTTTCAATAGTTTGTTATGCCATTAATGGGCTGACACATTGTTATAGAATCCTAGGTTACTTTTTTTCTTTGATATGCAGGTTATTATTATTAATTATTGATATGGATGTCAAGTAGCATACTTCCTCTAGTTTTTTATATTGGTCACCTAGAAGAAATGGATCGTTCAATGTATTAGTCATAGAGTGGAATATTAATTAAATTTCTTCATAATTGTCCCTCTAATTATTTACGACTACATTTAATTGAGAGAGAACTTTTTTTTTATCAATTCATGCTTGCAAAATTGGAAAAATATTTCATTTACAGATAATGTTAATAACTTAACTAGCTCATTTTAGTTTCAATAAAGAGGTTACAGGTCACTTGTATAAAAGATTAGAGGCTTTCCAGTATAAGATAAAATTAAAAAATGTTTAATTACAGATACAATTATTGACTAAATTATCTTTTTTAGTTTTAGTGAAATAGTTAAATGACTTGTATAAAGTAGCTGGAATTGTTAAAGAAAGTAGAGTATGAGTAGGGATCCGGATCCAGCCAAATTCTTAGCATGCCTTAGCAGCCAAATCTGGTCCATTTAAATAGTCAAATTTGATCAATACATATATCACATGACTATTAAAAATATATGTAAATAATTTATTTTTAAATAGTAAAAAATATATTTTAAAATATCACATATGTAGAAATAGGTCAAGTTTATGCCAAATTTTGATAAACAAGCTTAGCCTATTTATAAAAATAGGCTTAATTATAAATTCAAACATAATTTTTTTTATTAAACATATTGTGTCAAAATTCAAACCGGACAGAATGTATGTCTCTATAGAGCTATTTACTTATTTTAAAATAATCAACTTTTTAGTTAAATAGGTTTGGCCTTGCTTGCAGAGACATACAGCATGTCCTATTTAAATTTTGGTATGATCTGTTAACAAAAAAATCGTGTTTAAATTTAGCTTGTTTATTCAAAATTTGATTTAAACTTGATTTATTTCTATCTATATATGATATTTTAATATATATATTTATTATTTAAAAACAAATTATTCACATGTATTTTTAATAGCCATATATGTGTGATACTGATTAGATTTTGACCATTTAAATGGATCAAATTTAACCGCTGAGGGACACTGAGAATTTCGACGCTTAGGGGATACAATTCCGTATAAGTAGATATTAGCAATAAAAATAAGTCAAATCAAACCAAATTTTGGCCCAATAGACTTGTGCTGACATGGTAGGCTATATACAATAAGCTTGACCTCCTTAACCTAATAGATATATATTAAATATTAACTTTAACTATTTAAATAATAATAATTAAGAAGAATTATAGTTAGGTTTCAAAACACTGAATTAACATCAATTAAGTTTTTCAAAAATTATTTTAAAACATAATTTAAAAATATCAATCCAAATTATTATAAATTTAAAAATTTTTAATTATAAATAAATATTTAAATATTAAGTGTAACTTTTAAATTATAATAAAAATTCTTGCTTGTAATTATTTAAATTGATATTTATAATTTATTTTATGAAAAATTTTATCATTAACCTACTGCCTAATAATTGTTATATAATTACACACACGTACACATGTATATATAGGTCTGACCATATCGTTGAGACTTTTTGACCTATTTACTTAATAGGCTAAGTCAAATTCAAAGTAAGTGAGGTCACTTGACTTACTTTAATTGCTAGTAGAGATCTCGAATTAAAACTCCTTTATAATCTTTCATAAGCATGAGTGTAAAAAGGTAAAGAGATTTTTTATATAATGTGATTTATTTTTATTTAAGTTTTTTAAGTTAGAAGTGAAAGAAAAAAATATTTTTACAAGGGATGTTTGGTTCTAATAGGAGTTAAATTAATTAATTTTCTCAAATTTTCAAAATACTAAGTAATGGAATCAAAATAAAAATATTTTTAAAGATATAAGTATTGAGTAGCAAGCCTTATATTGAACATGTGTGTGTGTGTCTGTGTGAGACTTTAAAAAGAAATATTAGATAATGAAAATAGGGAAATGGTAAAATTATAAAAAAAGTAATAATCTATCTTCCTATGCAAAACCAACAAACCTTAATAGGACAATTAATTTCTTATAGAAGGTGACTTGTATATAAGATAAAAGAGAATACATATTTTCCTAATTGTCATTCTTGAATACCAATATTTTTTTTTTTGGGCAAATAATACCAATCACTAGTTATTTCTCTCAAAATTCTAGGATTATTGTTTTTTAATTAAGTGATTTTGATATACTCCTAGTACATTTTGGATAAAGACAATAATTGCCTATAAAAAAAAAATCTATGAATCATCTATATATTGAAAGGTAGGACTTTAAAGGGAAAAATGTCTTCCAATATGAAATAGAGGTAAAATATCTTTTTTTTTTGTTTTTTTTCCCCAACGAGGTAAAATATCAAACATAAGAGTGAACATTAGTCTTGTCTCAAACCACTGATTTTCTAGAAGTGTCAGAGAAGTTTAAAGATGCTTCTAGACATGAAATATGAAATAGGAACGGATAAGATTATATATGAAACAATGGAATAGATAAGATTATATATGAAACAATGAAATGCAAATATGACCGTTAAGACGGGCTTTAACTATCTTTCATTGCATTCAGTTATTGGAAGCATAAGTGTGACACTTGACAGTTAAGATGGGCTTTAACTGTCTTTCCGAATCGGGTGGCGAGATAGTCAAAAGCGTCACACGAAATTTCTTTTCACTCTTCGAGTTCCAGAGGATTGGAATTTTCTTCAAAACCTAACAATTTACATCAATGACAAAATTATGAGTTGTCATAAGAAATGATAGATTTGCTATATTTAGTTAGTTTAAATATATATATATATATATATTTTATGGATATCAATCAAGTTTCTAGTATACATTTCATTTCATTTCATTTAATGTTCAAATAAGCGTCACAATAGGATAATGAAATCATTGCGCAAATTTGTTAAGCTTTAACCTGAGGCATCGTGCACAACTTGCAATGTATATATATGACATTAGCACATTATCAATATCCTGATGGTTGCCGCAAAGAAAAAGACACCTACGAATCTACGATGTTAAACACAAGCAATGAGAACTGAGAAGAACAAGATGACAAAAGGCAAAGACACAGTATAGATTTGATGTCCATATACTATATCCATTCACCAAACAATTATCCGACAAATTTATTCAAGTGAACTCCACCATGACAACAATTATGTAGGGTAGATAACTGATATGAGATCAATTCATTGTCAAAAGTTGGGACACGCTGGGTGGGATCATTGTTTAGAAATAACTGGGTATTCATCGGATTTAAGGGCAATCAGTATAGAAAAGTGAAGCAAACCATCGAAACTGGAGCAAAAGTAGGATTAATAGAGGCTGCTATGAACTATACACTACCAAGAATGCTGCTCTCAATGCAAACCTGCTCAATCCGATGCAAAGAAGGCTAGTAAAATTCTTGCATAGGCCTATGGGTTATCAATTCTGGAACAACCAAGAACATTACCTTCGACTGTGACCTGATTAAGAACGAAGAAAGACAACCAAGCAAAGACCAATCCAAATTTCAAATGGACAGTGAATACTAGTTGAGGGTGTTGGAAGAGCCAAGGTGCCCAATGGAAGGAATCAATGCTGTTTTGAATATTCCACAATTTAAATGAAATTTAAATTCAAAGCTGACGAGAGAGTATAATTTTACTGACATTTGTTGCTGATTTTTTGTGTTGTACAGGACTTACCTCCAGGGACTGTTGTATAATTGTAAATACGACAATAGTGAGGTATGAAACTAGCCGTTAGGTTATTTAAGATATTAACTGTTCTATTAGAGACTAGAAATAAATACCTCTTACTTATTTGTATGCTCTCATGTTGAGCCCTCAATACAGACCTGCGTATGTTCAGTACTTCTCATCTCTCTATTCCTCTCAATCTCTCTCTGATTCTCTGATTCTTCCTGTTCTTCTCTCCTCTGTTCTCTCTCTCTCTGTTTCTCTCTCTGTAGAATTACAGAGGTATAACAGTGGTATCTAGAGCCAGGCATTCCTTGGCCTCTTTCCCTTCTCATTCTGACAGTACATGGTCAAGACTTGAAGCCAGAAACAAGAAGAAATGGAAGAATGCATGGTCAAGCTTGAAGAACACCGTGGCAAGGTTGATGCCTTGTCTGAACTGGTTGAAGGCCTCTTGAATCAGCAACAGATGCTGAAGTGTGACTGTGAACATGACAATACCAGAAATAGGCATTAAGGCAATGGACGTAAGGGGCATCATAGAAACCAGAATGGCAAACTTTGATGGCAAATGGATAAGAAGCTGGATATCAAGGATTTACAAGATGACCAGGTTTTCTTGCTGCAGTCGGTGACAAATGGACAAGAAAAGATTGAGTTATTCGCTGTCCAGACCTCTGTTCAGAAATCCCTGAAGCAATTTCCAGCACTCAGCACGAATTTTCAGACCTTTTTGGAGCACTAAAAGGGCTGTCACCATTTCAGGAAGTCATGACCACCCCATAGTGGCTTCAAGAAGGCATTAATCCTATCAATTTGAAACCCTATAGAGACCCCTGAGCCCAAAAGATGTGATTGAAGGGTTGGTGAGAGAGTTATTACAGAATGGGGTAAAAGAAGGATGGCAGTTGGAGAATGTTTATTGATTATAGGGAATTGAACAAGACGACAATGAAGAATCAATACCTTATTCCTTTGGTTGAGGATTTGTTTGATGAATTAAGTGCAGCAAGATGGTTCACAAAATTGGATTTAAGGGCTGACTTCCATCAAATCAGAATGGCACCTCAAGATGTTTTAAGAATTGCTTTCAAGACTCATAGTGGGCACTATGAGTGGTTAGCTATGCCATTTGGCTTAAATAATGCACCAGCAACCTTTCAAGGAATTATGAACAGCATTTTTTTGCCCTTGTTTGAGAATGGTTTGTTTTAGTATTTTTTGATGATATTTTGCTTTATAGTGCTAACCTTGAGGATCATGGGCAGCACCCAAAACAAGTCTTCTCTATCCTAAGAAAAAAATGTTATTTGATTAAAAAGAGCAAGTGCTCTTTTGCTACACCAAAGTGGAGTATTTAGGGCACTTAATTAGCGAAAGGAAGGTGAGAACAATCCTAGAAAAGATTCAGGCAATGGCTGAATGGCCTGAACTGAGGAATATCAAGCAACTAAGCATTTTTAGAGCTGGCTAAATATTATAGACGACTCATCAAGGGATTGGTGTTTTAACTAAGCCATTGACTCTACTCCTTAAGAAGAATGGCTTCAGATAGACCAATTCTGCAGCTGAATCACTTCAGAATCTCAAGAAAGTACTAACTTTAGCCCCTGTCCTCACTCTTGTAAAGTTCAACAAGCAATTTGTAGTAGAAGTTGACGCGTGTGGGGTTGGTTAGGGGGCTGTTTTTAATGCAAATGGATAGCCAATAGCTTGTTTCAGCAAGGGATTAGCTGAAAGACACCAAAAGCTCTCCGTTTATGAAAAAGAGCTAATGGCCATGGTTTTGGCAATGCTTCATTGGCACCAATATCTTTAAAGAAGGACATTTATCATTCTATTAGACCAACAGAGTTTAAAATATTTAATGGGACAAAATTTGAAGACATCTTTCCAGATGTTGTGGTTGGCAAAGCTAGTTGGGTTTGATTATGAAATTTAGCATAGAAGGGAATAATAATTCTCTCGCAGATGCTCTCTCTCAGATGCCTAAACAACTGATGCAAATGATTTATGATACTACTTCACATGAGTTGCTTGTAAAAATAAAAGAAAGCTAGGATAATGATGCTGTCATAACAACAATAAGAGAGGAAGTCCAATAGCAGGATGGAGTTTGGGGACATTTCACATATGATGGTGATTTTCTTAGAAGGAAATGGAAGCTAGTGGTGGGGAATAAATCTGATTTGAGGCAACAAATATTGGAATGGCTTCACTCTAGTCCTCAAGGAGGCCACTCAAAAATCCAAGCTACCTATCAAAGGGTTAAATCTTTATTTTGGTGGAAAAAACTGATAAATGATATCTCTCATTTTATTAAACAGTGACACTTATGCTAGGTGAAAAAAATGAGACTTTGGCTACACTTGGATTATTGTAGCCTTTACCTATTCCTAGCAAGGTATGGGAAAGCATCACTATGGACTTCATTGAAGGTCTACCTAAATCTTTTGGTAAGGACACGATTTGGTTTGTGGTTGATTGTATGAGTAACTATGCACATTTTCTACCTCTTACTCATCCTTTTTTAGCTTCTTCTTTAACCCAGATTTTTATAGATAATATTTACAAATTACATGGAGCACCTTAAGAAATTATTTGTGACTGAGCCCCTTTCTTTGTTACTGGATTTTGGAAAGAGTTTCTGCAGGTTTTAGGGGTGAAATAGCATCTTTGTATAGCCTATCACCCTCAACTGATGGCCAATCTAAAGTCTCAACCGTTGTTTAGAAACTTATCTCTGTTACATGTGTTGGGAGTGACCCAAGGACTGGAGCAAGTGGCTGCCACAAGTAGAATGGTGGTATGACACCACTTTTCACACAACAACTAACTAGGCTACTCCTTATGAAATCCCTATTTACCTCACAACAATGTTTTAGATGCCTTGGATAGGTCATTCACAGCTAGGGAGGAAGTTTTGGTTGTTTTAAACATCATCTTCAAAGGGCAGCCAATTTGACAAAGCAAAAGGCTGGCTCGCATAGGATGACCGAGAATTTGCAATGGCATAGTAGGTTTTTCTTAAACTCCAGCCCTATCATCAAATTTCAACAGAAGTTCCCAGAAGTTAGCTCCTCATTATTACAGTCCTTATAAGGTTTTGGAAAGGGTTTGAGTTGTTGTATACAAGCTAGAATTACCTATAGAATCAAGGATTCATCCAACTTTCCATGTGTCTTGTTAAAATTGTGTCCTGCTCCTAAAGTAAAGCAACACCATCCCTTCTAATGATTGGGCTGCACTACCACCTATACTAGAGCCCGAGAAAATTTTGAACAAAAGGGTTGGTAGAAAGTGAGGAAGAATTATTACAGAAATTCTAGTTCAATGGAAGGACAAACCTGATGAGGAAGCCTCCTAGATGTCACTTCATCAATTTCAACAGTAATTTCCATCATTTGTTGTATCTAAACCTTGAGGGCAAGGGTCTTTTGAAAGGGGGTTATTGCTATATAATTGTAAATATGACAATAGTTAGGTATTAAGCTTACGGTTAGGTTAGTTAAAATATTAACTGTTATATTAGAGCCTAAAAATATCTCTTACTTATTTGCATGCCCTCATGTTAAGTCATCAGTAGAGACCTGCATATATTTAGTACCTCTCTTGTCTGTCTACTCCTCTTAATCTCTCTCTGATTCTCTCATTCTTTTTGTTCTTCTTTCCTCTGTTTCTATCTCTCTTTCCCTCTCTTTCTATCTTTGCCAGAATTACAGAGGTAAACGGGGACTTGGTTAGAGTAGGCATTGTGAGAGTTTCTACATCCTAGAGCTAATAGAAGATGAAGGGTGCTTGTAGTAGTCATTAGGCTGGCAACCTAAAATTTGGCACTAGAGATTGGGTTGTGCATCAGGAGAAATCATGAATTAATGGACAAAGCATGTTGAGATGGATTGTTATTTTGTAAGAGAAAGGAAATAATCAGGAGAAATCATACCAACAAAACATATGGATAAGAGACTAGCTAGATAAAATATTTTACAGATACCAGTAAACATTTTCATGGAACCTTTTATTTTATCCTACGTTTAGTTATGTGACAAGACAATGTTGTTTAGTTATGTGACAATAGGATAATGAAAAAAATTGCAGTTCTGCTAAGATTTTAGTTGAGACATGTGGATGCCTCACAATTTCTGATGCACATCATTGTCCAAAAAGAAAGCAATTTTAGGTCAAGGGGCTTTTATTATAAATATGTATAATTTTCTCTCACACAATAAAATAATTACTTATAAAGTAAAATGGAAGATTTCTTTGCTATCCCGTAAGGCTTGTTGTTGTTGTATAAAGTAAAATGGAAGATCTCTTTCCATTGGGCCTCGGGCAAAGATGTACTGGGATTGTAAGATCTCTTCCTCCATCAACTTTCATTCCGCATGTCCCATTATCAAATCCTTCTTGAGATAACGAGATTAATCAG